TTGATTTTATTTATAATTTATAATGTCGGATTGAACCAATCGATTGAACTAATGAACTGGCCATGTGCTCAGTTCGATTTGATTATTTTTTGGGTGCTAGTCAACCTAAGTTAAACTCGATAACTAGAGATTAACTCGTCTAAATCCATGGGTAAGGTATGTTGGGTGGGTTATTTTTTTTAATTTCAAACACGCATTTAAATAATAATAACAAAATACAGAACCTTGATCTTGGACTTGTCCTTGCTGTTGTTGGTTCTCTCTTATCTCCTGTCACTGTCAAATCTGCTAAAGTCTACCTTGCCGTCGAGTCTCCTGGCCTAGAACGTTGCTTAGGTGCTCAGCATTGTTGCTGTGATTTTGAGACGTGCAAATTCTCTTTCTTTTCTTCAGCACAACTTCTCAGGTCCAATGCGTGAATGAAAAGAAAGATCAAAAAGTGTGGTGATCGATGTAAAGCGCTAGGAATAGGTAGACGCAAATAGATGAGGAAGAAATTTTTTTATATATTATAAAGTTTATATATCTGCATTATTTTTGAATTAAATATTTATTATTTATTATATAACAAAAATATATATTAATTTATTATGATTTGTCTGATTGTAATTTTTGATTCAACTTTGATTAAACTTAACCCTTGATCTGTTATTTCAACCACTTCAATAATCAATTTTATTTTTAATACCCTGATTTAATTGAATATTTATTAAAAATATTGTTATATAATACTTAAAAAATATTAAATATTAAATTTTTGGAGAGGATAAGCGATATTTTGATAGTGAAGATTTTTTATAAAATTTTAGAAAAAATGTTTTAAAAATATTTTTTAGTATCGATGAAATTTAATATTACAAAATACTCATTGAATGAATGGATTTAAACCACCCACTGAATTTAAATCCCTTCATTTAAGCATTTTCTAGTGAAAAAAAATAACTATAATTTAATATTTAATTTTACGGTTAAATGCCTTGAAAGTTTTCTTGAAGAAGTGATAGCCAAGGGTGAGCATCGGTTCGGTTTGGTTCGGTCTCAAAATATGCAGAATCGATCGATCGAATAACACTAAAAATAAAAACCAAATCGAACCAAACAAGGACCGAACCAAAATTTGATAATTTGGTTCGGTCTGTTAATTCGATTTTTTAGTTTCATATTGGGCTATTGAAATTGGGTCCATTTTTTAAATATTAAAATAAATAACACTATAAAATTGGGCCTTTTTTTCTATTTATTTTTTTCAATATAAGCACATTCTAATTACACCCATATGACATAAAGCCCAAATATTATAAAGGCATGAATAATCAAATAAATAATCACAAATAAACATCGATGATCAAATAATGGTCCTATAATCCAGTCACAATACCTATTGATGAGAGTGACTGATCAAAATAGGGTTTCAAGTAATGTTATTATTTTTTATTCTCTATTAAAATAAAAAATAAAAATAAAATAAAATAATTTATAAATTAAATATAATTTATAAATTAATAAATTATATGTAATTCGGTTAGTTCGGTCTATTCAATTTTAAATTTTACTAACTGAATCGAACCGATCAATTAAAATATTTAAAATAAAAAAGTCGAATCGAACTGAAAAATCAAATAGACCGAATTAAATATATAAAATTCAATTCGATTCGATTCTCGATTTTAGTTCGGTTTTGCTCACCCTAGTGATAGGTACCCTTATAGTTCTCAAGGGGCAATGTTGCGCCAAAAATATAAAAAATGGAGCAATGTCCCCCTACTCCATTGACAAACCAACATTGACTAAGGATTGCTGAAATGGCACTCAAACTCAATATCTAGAAAGCAACGTGGCAGTAAGCTTCTGTAATATGGAATATATTTTTATTTCAAACCTAAAATGAAAAACAAGGGTTGCGGACAAAGGCAAACGAGCGGATGGTGTAAATGAGGTATTCAATTATCGCATGGCATTGTTGAATGGAGGAGAAAGGTGGAGACGCACTAGGCATGAACACTTGTGGGGTAGGCAAGCTCAAATTCCTGTAGGACTGCAAAAGAAAGGATGAAGTAGAGATTCATCCTTGACTTTTCAAGTATAAAATTAAATCTTGGTAGGTAGGTAGATAGATAGCATGTGAGGGCCAAAAAAAATTTTTAGGCATTTGCATGGTGAATTAGTGCTCTGTTTTGTCTTAATGTAAGATAATTAGTGTCAATGGCAAACCCAAAGAAGGTGGAACGGTTGCACATAGATGATTTATTAAAGGGATTTGAAAATGGAAAGGTTCGAACGAAAAGGGGGTACAAGACAATCGCTAAAGATATTAGAGCATACGATCCACGTCATTCTAAGAATGAAGTTGGAGGGACCCTAGGTGATGAAGGTAGAGAACCAAAAAATAAAGAAAGTGACAATGAAATCAATGAGGATCAAATTGTGGACATAGAGCCATTATCTATTGAGCTGCCACCTATAATACTTTAAAAATTAAACCCCCTAATAATCAAACTAATCAAGGATAATTAAGCAATATTCATGTGGTATGTGGTTAGAAAGGCTTGATGAATAATTTTTGTTGTGTTTTCAATCCTAAATTGGGTCTTAAGAGGAGTTGGGACACCCGAGCCTCAAAACGAGAGTCAAACAAGGATAAGTGGCTTTATACCACATGCGACAGTGCGTGCATGTGCATGAGTCACAAAATCACGAAGAAAACCTCTTTGTACTACATGTCACAATGTTTGTGTCATGTGCTGAGACACATGGACAAATTTTTGCAAAAATAAGGCAGTGTCAATTCAAAAAAATTAGAAGAGAAAATGTGAGAAAAACATGAAAGCATGACTTTGCTCTACTAGGGCTTGAATTTTGAGAATATTGGAGGCATTTTGAAGCTATCAAATTCTAAGAGTAAGTCTCCTAACCCTTTCTTTTTTCTTCCCAACTCATTTTCTTAAGTTTTTTTTGCTAAATTTTATTGAAGAGAATTAATTTTCAGTCCATATATAGACTATAAGTCCGAACTCATTGACTCAAATGAAGTTAACGAGAATTGTTTAAAGTATTTAAACCTAATATTTACATATTTACACATTTTAGTTGTTGAAGAGGCATTTATGGCTAAACTTTTATAATAAATAGGGTGACCAAAAAGGTTTGAATGCCATCAATGATGAGCTGAAAGTTTAATGATAATAGGCCAATGGAGGTTAATAAACCCGATGAATAAGTTTAGATGCTAGCAATGAGCATCTTGGGATATTTCAAGCTTTGAAATAAAGAGTGTCAATTGTGATAATGATTATTTCAGACATGATTAATCATATATTAATCATCCACGCATCTATTTGGCTTGAGAGTAAGCTTGAAAACAAATTAATTGAGGGGTAATATTTAATTTCTTAAAGGTTTGAAATAATAGGAGGAAATCTTTTCTTTGTAGATGTTTGTTCATTGATTTATGTTTGTGAAAATGAAATGATAAATTTGAAAGATTGTGTTTTATGATTAAAAACATGTGCAATATATTTGAAATACTAATGATCCCATTTTTGTCTATAATTGTTCATGTGTGATTTTGAAAACATGTGCATAATATAATTGTGTGTTGAAATAAGTGATATTATCAATTGTTGAGATGATAATGTGAATGCTATATGTGTGTTAAATGAGAAATTGAACACTTGTTGTGTGATTGAGATTTGAAGTGGAAAGTATTTATGAACTTAGTAATGATATGCTCACACAAGTTAATTTGTTATTGTAAACCCAATGCATCTTTATTAGGTATGTAAATTTGTGAAATGAGTGAACATCATTCATTACACAATTGTATTGGTAGAAGTTTGCTTAGGAAGAGAAGTAGATAAAATTCATATGACCTCTTTTAATGACAAAGGTTGACCTTGTCTTATTATTTGTCGAGGGACTTTAACTTGGCTATATCCATCAGTTTGTCAAGAGATTAGCCTAGGGTTTACGACATCCCAAGAATTTTGAGAATAGGGGAAGCCATACTTTGAGAGTGAGTTTAGTGATATTTGACCAGGTCATTCCTCATAGTTGGTGAGCTTGGATAGTCCATTCATATGGATAGAACCCTAATTGATCTAAAGCCCACGATTTTAGTCAAAGAAACTAATGAAGATATAAGGAGGAATTGGTCATGCATTCTTATCTGACATATCATATGGTTGCTAAGTTTATTGTGCCATTGTCTTATAGTTGTTATTATTATGGCAATGTGCATTTTTGTGTTTGATGGGACCATTGTCACAAGGTTATTAATATTGTGGCAATGTGTCATGTGATGTGATCTATGAAAAATGAGAATAAGACGCAATTTGTAATTGTGATGTGTGTTTTTGTATGATTAAATGCATCTGAGTAGTCATCTCTCATATATATTTACGTTAATTAATAAAAATTACATAGGATAGACATACCTTGATTATTCAGTAGTTATACTCACCACTCTTTCTTACCACTTTATAAGTTCTAACTCAAGTACAAATAAGGGAAAGGCTTTAGAAGCTTAAGAATTTTAGTATTCCTACTGTTAAGACTCCTAAACTCATTTATTTTCTGTAATTGATAAGATATTACTAATAAGAAATGTATTTTGAATATAAGTGCGCTATAGTGATGATTACGATGGGATGTATTTTAGGCCATAGAATGTTGTATGTAAAATTTCATTATTGCTATTTGGGCTAAAATTGTAATAACCTAAATTTTTTTAAAAAAATTAAAAGTTAAAATTAAAATTAAAATTAAAAAATACATAATATTGTGTTTAAGTGTATTTATATTAATTTTGGAATAAATTAGTAAGAAAAAGAGTTTGTTTAGTGGTAATTATATTATTACTTATTTCATAGGTCATGAGTTTGAATTTTATGAGGTCAAGAGTGCAAATTTTCTATATTTTCTCTTCTGCTTCAGCCTATTGACAAAATTACAATGATGCCTTTCTGGGAAAAAAAAAAAGACAGAGACAGGGACCTAAACGTGTGGCTTCTTCTCTCCTTATATTTTCCGTTTCCCTGCCGAAAAGTCCAGAAACAATGGAGAGAGATAGGGAGCTTCGATTTCCTCCAGTCCTCTTCCCTTTTTCTGTCGTCCTCCACTGTATTTTATCTCTCCCCTCTGGTTTCCGGTGATCGCGCGGTGAAGTAGAGACTTGGCGTCTCTATGTGATACCCAGGTTGTCCGTCGTGCTTCCCTGTCTCTACTTGTTTTCTTTGTTGCTTCTCCATTCTTGCTGTTCACGTACACGCAGCTGGGGTCCGAGAATCAGGTCGTCGGAGCTGGTAGGGTTGTTCGCGAGCTCATCTCTGTTTGATCTAGTGCTGTGATTCTGTTTTCTTCCTTTCGTGTGTACCCTGTCTCTGATTCGTTCTCTATGCAGCTCGTGATTATTTTTTTTTCTTTCTATTATTGCTGTAGTTGAGTGCATCTGGTCCTTTAGCCTGCTTGTGCGTTTCTGAAGAGAGAAAGAGGAGTGGTCTGCCATTGGTTGAAGCTGGAAATGGGAGAACTCCTCTCCCTGTTCTGTCGGCTTCTTCTCGTTCTCTCCCTCCTCTGTTACTGTTGGTACTTAAGGTGAGGATTTTTGAACTCTTCTTGATAATTTAGTGCAAGAAAGAGTGTCTGAATGAATGATTGAAATTGAATTTTTTTTTTTCTAAGTTACTGAAATTTGTGTAGTGGAAGTATGATTATGATAAGTATAGTTAGAGTTTGAGTCAAGTTAATTTTGTTTGAACTAGATGATGTTAAGAAGCGGTTAGGATGAGTTTGAAATAGAAAAACTTTAACATGGAATTTGACAGTTAGTGACCATGAAATGTTTGTTGAAATGCTTGTGAAAAGGAGTTGTTTTATTGTATATTTACTAGAATATCAATAAGTTTTTGAAAGACTTAATTGGTTGGGGTGCTATTATTTATGAGTTTAACTTGGAAATGATAAAAGGAGATATATGAGTAGGTATTTTTTTTTTCTTTTCTTCTACAACTTTGTTGGATCTCGCAAGAGACATGAATTGGCTTGGGTGTTACTCATTTGTAAATTTAAATCGAATATTGTAAAGATATTTATCTATGTTATTGACAAATTTATTGGATTCTTGAGTTATGGTTGAGAATTTATAAATTACAGTGTTGTGTTATGATTCAATTTTGGGGCGTATATTAGGTGTTCGATGTAACGTGCACTAAAGGAATTATGAAGCAATTGAAAGATTAAATGTAACACACACACAAAAAAAAAAAAAAAATTGGATGTGTATGTTATAGAGTTTGAAAATAGAAATATACTCAATGTGTTAGATAAGGGGAGTATTCATATGAAGTAACTGTGAAATTAGAGAAGCTTTTAAGATATGGATTTTGGTGTCTTTGAATGATTACTATTGTAGTTGATTAGAGTTATTTTTGTTGACTTAAATTTTCACATGTATATAAATATGTTCATATAGGGTGTCTAGAGGAAGAGGATCTTGATAAAAGTATAAGGAGTAAGCTATAGAGGTTGGAAAGGCTTATCAAGTAAGTGGATAGCGTCCCAACTGATTATTTTTAATCAAAATTTCTTTTACTGGAATATTGCGTTGTTTTGGAAATCATTTTAATAGCATTAATGCAATTATTGGATATTTGTTGATTAATTTACTTTATTTTGAGAAATTAGCTTTATCAAATTTGAAATGTTATTTGATCAATTAAATTAAGTTTGAACTTTGATTATCAAATTTTTATTTTATTAAATATTGGATTGATACAGAGAATGATTCATGTGAGTTCGACTTTGAAATTTTGATTATTCGATAAATGCAAGCATGAGTATTGGATATGAAATTCTATTTTGGCAAGTTTTCATGCTTAAAAGTATTCATGTGAGTTTGATTTTGAGAACGAGAACTGTATCATGAAAGTGATGATTTTCTTGCATGTTTGAAAATGGTTTTAAAAAAAAGGGACTTTATACGGAATACTGGTTGCTAATGGCAGTTCCGTTAGCCTTTGCGCGCCATGGTACACCTAGCTAGCAGGGTGTTTATAGGAGGTGCTAGCCCCGTGCGATGGCCAACGCACGTGGAACGGAGGGATGGTTATTCGTGAGCATCGTACTCACGTTTGTTTCGTGGCTTCAAGCCGCGTTTGGTTACCATGACCCTCATGGACTGTGTGTCCACGTTTGTTTCGTGGCTTCGCCTACATTTGGTTATTTACCCTCATAGATGAGTGTCCACATTTGTTTTCGTGGCATAAACTGCGTTTGGTTAGTTACCCTCGTGAATTATGTGTCCATGTTTGTTAATTGTTCTAATAAGTCCCTATATTTATAAATCCAATCGTTTGATGATTTCATATTCTATTAGTTTTTATTTAATAATTTGTTTATAAATATTTATTTCATTTATGTGCTTTCTTGAAATCAAGTGATAATATCATTTTCTATGATAGTTCAATGTTTTGAGATTTTATTTGAAATTTATAGAGCCATTTTATTATGAAGTTTATAAAATTTTTATGAAAATTTTGTCTATTTAACTTACATAATTATTTCAAACTTTTCATTTTATTTATGTTCTATTATTTATTGTTGGATGTTATTCACTGAAAAAGATATTTTGGTCTCAGATGGTATAGTTGAACTCGTGACTCGATATATCCATTGAGGAGTTTTATTGCTGAATTGAAGCAGAAGAATTATTTTAGTCAAATCCTAATTTGATGAAAAATTTGAACTTTATACCTACGTTGGCGTCTGGCCTTAGGTGCTCCACATAGATTACTGGTAGTATCCTTATATTTCTTTTAAAGTTGAATATTTGAATTAATATTGTAACAATTTTTAATTACTCTATTAGTGTGTTTAACGTATTAATTTCAGAGTTTCTTCGATCAAGGCTTAAGGGATATGAGTTTTGTGCCTATATCCTGTGCCGGTCACACCTGATTTTTGGGGCGTGACAAAAATACTAGTATAAGTATAGAAATGTTGAAATGTTATAACTATGAAAAATGATTTAATCAAATGCAATGCTAAGCTTTCCCTTCTATTTTTGATATTAGGGGATTAAGGAGTGAAAAATGAGATTTTGTTGTTATTATGTGCATGTGGTGTGTTGCACAATGGTCAAAAGTTTATTGACTATGGTCTAGGTATCAATACTAGCTTTTGGTTCATGTGTGGGGTTTTGAATGCTCTAATGTTGTGAAAAATTGAGAAAATATGTTTTTGATATCCAACTTTCTTTAGTAAATAATTTGATAGTAAAATCCATGGCATTTAGCTATGTAATAAAAGGAGCTTTGTATAAAAACTTAATTTACTTTAATTGCATGTTGGATAAAGAAATAAGGCACGTTAGAAGTTATCTCTAGACACTATCAAATATAGCACAAAGAAAAAAAGTCACGGCGGGTGTGTGTAATAAAAGTAAAGTTATTAATATAAGAAGTATAGAAGGTGTAGTTAAACATAAAATTAAATTAAAATTATTAATAATAAAAGTAAAGTTATTAATATAAGAAGTATAATTGTTACATGTAAAGTTATGACCATTTGGGTTGTTAACATATAAACTAGAGTTGTTAATCACTAAATTAAAGTTATTAAAATTGAAAGTGTACTATTGCAAAACTAAACTAATAACTATACTTTTATATAAATAATTTTACCTTCATTATTAATAACTTTAATTTAAAAAAATACTTTTTATTATTTTGCTGGTGATCATAATCTTAATTTCATACAAAAAATATCAAAACTACAATAAACAAAGGATTAATTTTTTTTTTTTTATGTTGTTGGGAGAAGGTGGAAAGATGTGGGGTCCACAAAAAAAGCAAAAGACACGACAGGATTAGGATGGATCTAGAGACAACTCAGTAGAGAAGCCAAAGTACAAAATTAGATAGCAGTGATGAGCGGCCAATTTATAGGGAGAATAAATAACAAATAAAATTTATCGACATAGGTAAGTGATAAAAGAGTTACTGTAAAATAAGATAATTATTCTCAAGCCTTTAAGAACTTATTTGAGATAAACTTTCATAAAATTATGTCTACAGTTCTCTGCAAAATAATAGAAATAGTAGTTAAAACTTAAATTAAATTAAAAATGTTAATAATAAAAGTAAAGTAGTTAATATAAAAAGTATATTTATTATGCATAGCTAAACTAAAGTTGTAGCTACCTGCATTGTTAATACAAAAATAGTAGTTGTTACTCATTAAGTTGAAGTTATTAAAACTGAAAGTATACTGTTACAAAACTAATCATATATTAACAACTTTAACTCTATTATTAACAAATTTAGTTTAGATAAACAATACTTTTTATTATTTTGCTAGTGATCAGAGTTTTAATATCATAAAAAAAGTTAAAACTATAATAATTAAATAATTAATTTTTTTATATAATATAATATATATTGTTGGGAGAAGGTAGAAAGAAGTGGGGCCCATGGCAAAAGAAAAGTCATAGTAGTATTAGGATGGATCTAGAAACAACTCCATGAAAAAGCCAAAACACAAAATTATATAGTAGTGATGAGTGGCCAATTTACAGGAGGAATTAACGATAAATAAAATTTATCAAAATAGCTAAATGATAAAAGAGTTACTATAAAATAAGAAAATTATTCTCAGGATTTTAGAAACTTATTTGAGATAAACTTTCATAAAATTATGTTTACAATTTCGCTACAAAATAATAGAAAGTGTAGTAAAAATTTAAATTAAATTAAATTTGTTAATAATAAAAGCAAAGTAGTTAATATAAGAAGTATAGTTCTTACGCATAATTAAACTAAAGTTATGGCCATCTAGGTTGTTATTATATAATTTAAAAGTTGTTAATTATTAAATTAAAGCTATTCAAACTGAAAGTGAACCATTGCAAAACTAAACTAACAACTAAATTTTTTATATTAATAATTTTACTTTTGTTATTAACAATTTCAATTTAGATAAACAACAATACTTTTTATTATTTTTCTAGTGATCAAAATCTTAATTCATTAAAAAATAAAACTATAATAATTAAATGATTAATTTATCTTTTTTTTATATATATATATATATATATATAGATATTGTAGGGAGAAGGTGGACAGAAGTGAGGCCAGCCCATGACAAAGGAAACGTGATTGTAGGATTAGGATGGATCTTGAATTAATTCGGTGGAAAAGTCAAAATAAAAAATTACATAATAATGAAGAGCGGCCAATTTACATGGAGAATTAATGACGAATAAAATTTATCAACACAGGTAAAATGATAGAAGAGTTAATATTTAAGATAAACTTTTGTAAAATTATGTTTACAATTTGCTACAAAATAAAAGAAAGTGTAGTTAAAACATAAATTAAATTAAAGCTGTTAATAATGAAAGTAAAGTAGTTAACATAAGAGGTATAGTTGTTACACATCACTAGACTAAAGTTATGGCCATCTGTGTTGTTAATGCATAACTTGAAGTTGTTAATCACTAAATTAAACTTGCTCTAACGGAAAGTGTACCATTGCAAAGCTAAACTAACAATTAAGCTTTTTATATTAATAATTTTACTTTTATTATTAACAATTTTAGTTTAGATAAACGACAACACTTTCTATTATTTTGCTAGTGATCAAAATCTTAATTTCATTAGAAAAAGTCTAAATTAAAATGATCAAATAATTAATTTACTTTATATATATATATATATATATATATTGTTGGGAGAAGGTGGAGAGAAGTTAGGCCGGCCCATGGCAAAAGAAAAGTGATTGTAGGATTAGGATGGATCTAGAATCAAGTCAGTGGGAAAGTCAAAAAAAAAATATCACATTATAATGAAGAGTGTCCTATTTACATAGACAATTAGTGACCAACAAAATTTATCGAGATAATCGAGATAGGTAAATGATAAAAGAGTTACAATAAAATAAGATAATTATTCTCTAGTTTTTAGGAGCTTATTTGAGATAAACTTTCATAAAATTACGTTTACAATTTGCTACAAAATAATAGAAAGTGTAGTTAAAACTTAAATTAAATTAAAGTTATTAATAATGAAAGTAAAGTAGTTAATATAAAAAATATAATTGTTACGCATAACTAAAGTAAAGTTATGGCCACCTGAATTGTTAATACATAATTTGAAGTTGTTAATTACTGAATTGAAGTTGTTCAAATTGAAATTGTATCATCGCAAAACTAAACTAACAACTGAACTTTTTATATTAATAATTTTATCTTTATTATTAATAATTTCAGTTTAGATAAACAAAAATACTTTCTATTACTTTGCTGATGATCAAAATCTTAATTTAATTAAAAAAAGTTATAGATATTGTTAGGAGAAGGTGGAAAGAAGTGAGGCACATGTCAAAAGAAAAGCTATAATAGGATTAGGATGGATCTAGAATCAACTTGATACAAAAGTCAAAATAAAAAATTACTTAATGGTGAAGAGTAGCCAATTTATATGGAGAGTTAATGAGAAATAAAATTTATTGAGAAAGATGAATGAGTTACAATAAAATAAGATAATTATTTTCAAGTTTTTAGGAATTTATTTAAGATAAACTTTCATAAAATTATGTTCACAATTCGCTACAAGATAATAGAAAGTGTAGTTAAAACTTAAATTTAATTAAAGTTGTTATAATGAAAGTAAAGTAATTAATATAAGAAGTATAGTTGTTAAGTATAACTAAACTAAAGTTATGACCACCTGGGTGGTTAATACATAAATTGAAGTTGTTAATCACTAATTTGAAGTTATTAAATCTAGAAGTATACTATTGCAAAGCTAAACTAACAATTATGCTTTTTATATTAACAAATTTATCTTCATTATTAACAACTTTAATTTAGATAAACAACTATACTTTCTATTAATTTGCTGGTGATCAGAATCTTAATTTTATTAAAAAAAATGTGAGATAACTCCCTAAAGACTTTGCAATAATTTCCCAATTTCATGTTAGTATTGAGTTTTTTTTTTCCCTTGTCAGAATGTTAATATTTAGTTGTTTACATATTTCGATAGGATTTATTTGTTATTGTCCTTTTTTAAAATAAATTTTTGCACTTTTTTGTTTTGATTCTAATCAATAAAAAAAAAAAGGTTATCGCTTTACATTTATTTTAAGCATGACCTTTATTTATGTTAGGAACTTTGTTCCATGTTTGATTTTTCATTTTTATTGATTTATCATTTTTATATGGAAAAATGACAATTAGAGATCCCACGAGAACATTAACTATAATTATAAATCCCAAATTATTAAAATGTAAATAATAAATTATCGTTCTTACTTGCAATAAAGTATTTTTTTAATTATTTTAATTAAAATTTACGATTAACTTTCATAAATTCTCAACTAATACTATATTTTATAAAGATCCTTGAGTATTTTTATTAATTTTTTTAATAATTTATCTATATATTGATAGTAAAATATCACAAGTAATTAACTTGTAATTTACAAGAATTAATTTTAAATTTATAATTAATTTTTTTAAATTTTCAACTAACATTGCAAATAATTAGAAGTATATTTTATTAATTTTTCAATTGATTTATCTGTATATTAATAGCAAAAAGTTGAGATTCATAACTGACTTTTATAAATTTTTAACTGACATGCAATATGGATTATATATATATAATATGTATCCATAACACATAATCTTATATATATATATATATTTTAAAATACGCAATATGTTTTATATATACTTATATATGGATTTTCTTTCCAATTAATCTTCATATCTGACATGTGTATTAGTATATATAATTAAATATAGCTGATAAATTTACAAAGAAGATACATTATTTACAAGTTACGAACATTGCGCCTTATAAAGAGAATTTTTTGTATTGCACAAGGCTCATCATCTAGTTTATTAGTACTATATAATAACCAATAATATCCATGTAAAATGAAATCTACAATGAGTCATGCTATTTATAATATAATAATCAATTATATTGGATGCTTACTCAAGAGATTAATTTCCTATTATTGGGAATGCAGAAGAACCAGAAGGGAGGAGTTTCGAAGCAGATCTGGAGATTTTGTTGGAGATGAAAGTGTAAAGGATTGCCCAGTGGAACGGAAACAGTAGAAGCAGCAGTACGTACGTGAAGAAGTTCGTGTGCCTTAGTATGGTTGAAAAACAGGTAATAATAATTTATAATATAATCATGATTTTAGATTCACATTTGATTTTAATATGTAAAAAAGTGTTTGGATTTTTTATGAAATTTATAATTTTAGGTTTATAATTAATTTTAATATGTATAATGGATCTTTGGATTTTAAAAAAAGTGATGATTTTGATTTTATAATTGATTTAGACATATAAATAAAATGTTTAAATATAATTTCAAAAAACTATGATTTTTAATTTTTTTTTCAATTCTATTTTGTAATTCTGTTTAAAGGGTGTCTTTGGAAAAAATTGGTTATAAAAAAATGATTAATTTAATTAATTTTGAATATAATCAATTATATTATATGATATATAATTAATTTATAAATTTGATTAACGGGATTGATTCTAAGAATAAATGTAAAGCAAAATTGAAAATCAAGTAAAATTATAATTTTATAAAAATATATCCAAACACCCATATTACATGTTAAAATTAATTAAGAATTTAAAACTGTAGTTTTCTTAAAAATATCTAAACACCTATTATACATGTCAAAATCAAAATTATTAATATAAAAATATAGTTTTCTGAAAAATATTCAAATATCTTTATACATGTTAAAATTAATTATGAATTTAAAATTATGATTATTTCATAAATTATTATTACTTACTTTTTAATTCATCTTTTCAATTATGCTTTCATAAATTCCTATAAAAATTATACAAATTTTATTTTGGACTTGCTTGGTTTCTCTGCAGTTTCCTTTCATTGTGCTTCCACTCTAACAATTTGATGCTTGAACACTTTTATGCTGAGAGTTTCGTCCTTCCGCTTTACTTTTATATCAAATTATTTTTATATTTTCCTTTCTTTTTTCTCCTGGCTCAGTAATTTTTTTCTTCCACTTTTATCCTTTATTTCTTCTTACATTGATTTCTCCTAGTTAAGTAATAAATTTTCATTAAAATTAATTAAATAAGTTATTAATAATTACTATGTTATATATGTATATTACTCATTTATAATTTATAATGAAAATCTTACTGCAAGCCTTAAAAACAAAGAAAATTGCACTGTAAGACCAAAATATTTTGATAATGCAATGCAAGTTCAAAAGCCTTGTAATTTTTTTTTGAGAGTGAAGGTATAATTTTATACTTGTGTGATTTAAAAATTTAGACATGTATAATACAATACCTATAGGTGCACAAAACAATATTTATGAATCGTCAACATAATATTCATGTGTGTCCAGTTAATCTATAAGTTAATTAAAATATACAAATCACACAAAGCAAGTACAAGACAAAGTGCATAGATGCATAACATGATATTCATGAATTTTCAACACAATGTCTATATGTGTCTAGTTGATCTATAGGATAATTAAAATATACAAGTCATGCAGAGCAGGTATAATATAATATTTATGGGTGCATAATACGATGTTTGTGCATTATCAACTAAATGTCCATATGTGGACATTATGTTGAAAATTCATGAATATCGTGTTGCACACCTATGGACATTTTGTTATACATGCTATATGTGGCCAATATTTTAATTAACCTATAAATCAATTGAATACATATGAATATTGTGTTAAGAATTCATGAATATCGTACTGTGCATTTATAGACATTAAGTTGTACACGCTCTACGTGATTTATATATTTTAATTAACTTATAGATTAACTAGACATGCATAAACATTGTGTTGAGAATTTATGATCATTGTGTTGTGCACTCATAGATATTGTATTATACATGCTTTGCGTGACTTGTATATTTTAACTGTAGATTAATTGGACATGCGTGGACATTGTGTTGAGAATTTATAAATATTGTATTGTGCCTTGCGAATGAGGGTTTTGCATAAGTTTTGAGTTTTCAAATTATACAAGGGAAAAATTATACTTTTACTTCTAAAAAAAAGATTGCAATAAAAACTCTTGAGCTTGCAATGCATTATTAAAATCTTTTAGGCCCAAACTGCAATTTTTTATCTTATTAACCCTGCAGTGCGATTCTCCATAATTTATCCGTAACATCTAAGGGAATATGTTAATTAATACTCTCTCCATCTAAATTTACAAAACATTATTTTTTTAAAAAAATTACACATATGAAAAAAGTTTATTAAATACAATTTACAATAACACATTGTAATATAATATGAAGCATTTGTATAACAAAAATTACAAATAATAAAAATTAATGTCTTTTTTTATAGCTGTACATTTAAAAAGATTCCACTAAATATAATCTAAATAATTTAAAAAATTTTTAATTTACTAAACTGACTTTTAAAAAATATATTTAAATATAAATTTTATTACAATAATTAACTTTCATTAAATTAATTTTTGTTAAATAAATTTTTAACAAATTAACTTTCAACCAATAAAAAGCCAAACACGCACTGAGCAATTCATGAATGTGGACAAACACAACCATTATTAACCAAGAAAAATGGTTAAACTAAAATATCCTAAAGCCTGAGAAACCGACGTTCTAAATCAATTCTCCCGTGCTTTGATGCGTTTTTGTTGCAAGATATCTATCAACTATTCGGATGAAGCATAATCCACCTGAAGTTAATTCCAAGATAGCTGGAACGTTGTGTGCAGTAACTCAAAATGCTTCATTTCCCAAGATCCGTATTGCAACTCTTTGTGGTCTTTTGTTTTATTGTTTAATGTTTAATATTTATAAATTTACGATCAAAGGCTATCTTTATTTGCTCTCTAGCAGTGTGTATTTTTTTTAAAGTTAGAGTTGATTAAAGTATATATTTAATCATTTAACTTTATAAAATATTTTATTTTAATTCTTTAACTTTATAAAGTATTTTTTTAATGCTTTAACTTTAACATTGTTAGTTTTATCCTTACAAATTTTTATATTAAACTTTTAAATATTAATAAAACATCATCAACTGTTGACATATAAACTTTAATTTTTTTTAAATGACAATAATTGATAAAAAAATAATAATTTGAAATTAATGATATTAGAGTTAAAAAATTAAAAAAATATTTTATAAAATTAAATGATTAAATTAAAACTTTATATAAAGTTAAATGGCTAAAAATATATTTTACCCATTAAATTTAAAAGACCAGCAAGCTCTTCCCTTGTACATTTTTTTTCTGTAGCCAGCACATGTACGAGGCTCCAATGACTGTTACATCCTTGACAGATTTTTCTTACAATTTCAACTTGATTTGGGTTTTCAATTTAGTTGTAATACATGACATTCATTTTGGAAAAAAAAAAACAGAAAACTTGAGAAAATTTGTTGTTCAAATAAGGATGTAAGGCTTTCAATTTAGCAGAAGTTATTCTTGCAAGCTTTTCCAACTGGTTCATAAGGGGCATTTTAATCTAAAAATAAATTTAAAACAACTTTAATTTGTTAAAGAAGTTATGTGTGTGTGTGTGTGACTAAGTAGAAACTAGAAAGCTCGCTTCCTACAAACTTGTTCCTCTTGTTCTTGTCTATTAAAATGTTACACTTCAAGAACAAACCTTAAAATTTGAAATTGGATACTACTATTAATAAAATAATAATAAAACATTGTTTTCTGCAGGTGATCAGTCTTTTTTCTTTCGGTAAAAACGCGTGAGAAGTCTTTTACTTAGCTTGTTTATGATTTTTTTTTTACTTAGCTTGTTCATGATATTTCATTATACATTAATTCAGTTTGAACATAAATAAACCTCTTCACCTGCAAATTCTATTCAAGTGTTTCCCTGTTCGCGGGTAGAAGTGACAGACCCAGAAAAACTAGATAGCGAGGGCAAAATGTTCAAGATAAAAATTTATTTCTTTACAAAAATATAATTTTTAAGTTTTTATTAAATTGAATTGGAGCTAAAAATTTGTTAAATACTATAGCTACTCAAGAATAAGGTATAAAGCATAAAATTATGATGAATTAAATAAAAACTGTCTAATATTAAATAAACCTTAACCACTTTTGTGCAGTAGACGAATCTTGTGAGAATTTTTTTAGTTGAAAAGATAAAAAATATTTTTAAAATTCTTATTCCTTCCATTCTCAACTATCATTATTTGAAATTATAATATATTGATTAGATTTGAGTTAAATAATATTTTAGGGGGATCGGTGAAACTTTCAAGGAGACAGTGCTTTTTTTTTTTTTTTTGATAGTGGGGCAATTGAATTTTTTTTCTGAGGAACAAAGAAAATATTTGGTTAATTTTATACAATTTTTTTTTTTTTGTGAGAGCATTTGCCCCCTCTCGCTACCAAGTCAGTCTGTCCTTGGTGGGATCACTAATTTTATGTTAACAGCGTATGAAAAGCATCTTTTAGGATTAAATTCTCTAAACCTAAAACAAGAAAATTTGTATTTAACATTGAAATTTGAAAAATAAAATTTATCATGTAATTATAAGGATTAAAAAGACTTTTTTCCTCTTGTATCAAGAAGGTAAGAATCTTGAACTTCTATCCTCACTTCACCCAACCTTACCAGAAAAAAGGGTGATTAATGCCAATGTACTAAATTGTTCTAATAAATGAACATATACAAGATTTACTACATCCGCCAAAATAGTTTGATACAATGAAAAAGGCCACTATCGTTTTCTAGTGACACAAAAGTTCTCCTCAGGCTGCTTTTGCCAAAAAAAGTTTGCAGCCTCAATCCATCGAGGATGAACCAAGAACTTGTTCTCTCTCATTGCCCAACTTGCCTTTGCGGTTCCCATATCAGTGGCAACTACATGCGTCACTGAGGGGTCAACTTCTGAGAGACACGTGGCCCCCATCTGTTCGGCCATCTTTCGAAGAGATGGTAACATTGCATGAGCAATGCGGCTGAATACAAGCACACTTCCTTTCAGAACTTCACTTTTGAGAGCCATCAACACCTGGACAAAATTGGGATGAATGTAACAAGTCAATCTCCCTTAAAACACCCTAAATTAAACAACTTCCCGCCATCAATATCTTAAAGGCACAACACAAATAGAAACTTCATAAACTACCTGCCTCACATCTCGGTCTCCAAGATCATTATCGAGTTCCTACAAGAAAGATTCCAGGTACACCAATTAGCTCAGCGTAGATAAAAAATTACCAAATATTGAGAAAATGGAAGTGACATACATAAAAAAATGTATGGTGAACTCGCTTGAGGACATCAAGAATTGTTGCAAGTGCTCCAACAGATTCGCATTCATCACTCTTTGACTCCGCAAGAGACCGACAATTAAAACCAAACTGCCGGCAACTTGAAGCGAAGAAATGATATCTTTCCATCACTATTAGATTAGCTTGATGCTTCATCCATGCCTACAAGTAGCAGACAATTTGTTTTTTTTTATCAGAAGTAGCAGACAATTTTTGTGCAGAGCAATTCCTTTGTAGTCATTGACTGGATTAATACGAAAACATAGAAATAGAGTTGGTAGACTGCAAAGCACTCAATTAATTCATGCTTTCAAAGTTCATACTAAAGTAAATAATTTCTTTTTCGAAGTGACTTCCACAAAGGACAACTATCCATTCGTACAAGGATGCCAATTAAGCAAACTGAAATTACAAGTCAATGAATTGGAATGCACTTACATTTTCTGTATCATCAAGAATGAGAACAGTGCTTTCTTGACCCAGGACAATGTCAAGACCCTTTTGATGCTTTTGAGTGCCATCGTCTCGAGAAATCACCTTAGAATGGAAGTATTCTCCCTTTGGATCAAGCAGCTTAGCCATCTCTAAGGCATAGGACCGATCTCCCATGGTAAATATGTACATTTCAAACAGTGTGCTTGCTCCGTTCAAAAATGTGTGGACAAAAGGCCTCAACTTGGTCATTGTATGCATGTAATCCAACTTGAAGAGGTCGCCTTTAGAGACATCTATTCATTCCACCATGCAAAGATTTAGAAAAGCAACACATATAAAAAGTGATGAAAACACCAAGAAATTTAAAGTGAAATGAAATCATGCAAAGGTTGTCAAAAAATAAATTCATACAACAACTATTAAGATGATCACAAGTTTGACACGTCTTACTCTACCAAAGTACAAATTCATATAACATGTTACTATATTCGTAAGTTGTGTTTTCCCATGTAGCAGAAGCCAATTGCTACATGCATGGTAAAATACCCTAAGGTCCTAGCAAAAAATGAAGTCTGCATTTTATGACAGCTCACCAAGCCTATACAGAACAAAATTTTTCAAAATGGCATTAGTTATCAAATTACAATGCTTAAGAATGACAGTGGCATTTGGGTGGATGATGAGGAGAGGTTGATAAAGATGAAGGATTTTTATATAAATTTGTTTACTGAAGAATTGGAAGATAGAAGCTGCTGGGATACAAGACAAAGGTGAGGGAGTGTTCAAGGGTGCGAGTTAGAAAGATTGGAGAGATATAAGTATGGAGGAGGTGTGAAGGGCCATCCTTGGTATGGGAGCTTTTGAAGCTCCTGGAGCTGATGGTTATCTGGCTGTCTTTTTTCATAAAAATTGAGATATGGTAGGGAAAAGTGTGACTGATCTCATCATTCAGTTATGGCAGGATCCAAACAGAATTAAGGAGATAAATGCCACATTGTTGGTTTTGATTCCAAAAGTGGAGATGGCAGAAGTTGTAAGTCAGTGGAGGCCAGTTTCCCTGTGTAATGGTGTGTAAGGGACTGTCTAAGATTTTGGTGAATAGACTCAAGCCGTTGTTGGGCAGATTGATATCTCCGTTTCAGGCAGGCTTTGCACTGGGAAGATGTATTCAAGAAAATATTGCAATTGCTCACAAAGGTATCACATTCAATGGGTAGGATGGTTGGACCTAGAGGGTATATGGCTATCAAGATTGATCTTGAAAAGGCTTATGATCATATGAGTTGGAGTTTTCTTAGTAGAGTCTGGGATGAAGTTGGGCTGCCAAGGAAATTTGTTGAAGTTGCTGTACCTTGTATTAACTCGGCTTCAATGCAGTTACTTTGGAATGAAGCAAAATCAGAAGGTTTCTTTCCTACTAGAGGTGTCACCAAGGGGACCCTTTATCCCCTTATCTGTTAGTTTCGGGGATGGATAAACTTTCTCAAATTATTGCAGATGTGGTGGGTGGAGGTGAATGGAGGCCTGTGAAACTGGGTAGAAGAGGAGCTGAAATAACACATTTACCATGTGCAGATGATCTTTTAGTATTATGTGAAGCAGAAAAGGATCAGTTGGAAGTTGTGTTGGGATGTTTAGAGATGTTTTGTGCTGTTTCTGGACAAAAAATCAATGTTCAGAAGACCGTAGTAATGTTTTCTGAAAATGTGGGGGAGGAGAAGAGGAGGGAGGAGCTTGTGAATATGTGTGGACTTCAGCAGACAAATGAGTTAGGAAGGTATTTGGGCTCAGATCCAGCATGGTAGGAGATCAAAAAGGAAGTTTCAGTTTCTGCTGGATAAGTTTCAAAGGAAGCTAAGTAGGTGGCAGGCTCAAAGTTTATTGCTAGCTGGCAGGTTAACACTTGTGCATGCTGTGACACAGCACATTCCAGTATTTAACATGTTACATGATAGGAATATTGAGAAATTATAAAGGAAATTTATTTGGGGTTCCACTATTGAAAGGAGGAAGGTGCATTTGATGGGATGGAAGAATCAGTATACGCCAAAGGAGTTAGGTGGTTTCGGATTAAAGGATTTAAAATTGATGAATGAGGCTTTAATCAGTAAAGTGGGGTGGAAGGCTCCATCTAAACCTCACAAGTTAAGCTCATGGGTCTTGATGGGGAAGTATGGAAGGAATGTTGATTTGAAATAGCAAGTCATTGTGAAGAATACCAATTCAGTTCTTTGGAAGAAGAGTGAAGAATTATGGCCAAAATTATTGCAGAATGTAGGTTGGCAAGTGAGCGATTGGAGGTTGGTGAAGTTTTGGGATGATAAATGGTTGGGGGATGGAACGCCTTTATATGAGGTATGCATTGTGAATCTTGAGGAGGAGGAAAGAAACAGAACTGAAAGTCAGTTTGTGGATAATAATGGAAGGTGGTGCGATGATGAATTAAAGAAAGTCTTGTCAGAAGGTTATGTGAATAGCATTTTAGCTTTGCTTACATCCTAGAATTGAGGATGGCGAGGATAAGTTGTTATGGCTGAATAAGGGGGGGAAGAATTTAGTGTTGCTGCTATGTATAACTTGCTTTGTGGGTTTCATAAGCAACACATAGAGAAGGTTCGGAGAGTGGTGTGGCAATGGAGGGGGCCAAGAAGAATCCAAACCTTTCTTTTGGCTTGCTGCATCTGGAAGTCTGCTAATTTCGGTGAAACGTATCAGAATTTTGCAAGTTTCTGCTGCTCGTTGCTGCTGTGGAAGGGCAGAGGAAGATGTGTTATATGCTCTATGCAATTGCTTTGAGATTAGGGGTTTTTGGGAGCAGCTTTTAGCAGGTATGAATCTGAATCAGTTTTTTAATCTTGATCTGAAAGGCCAGTTTTCTGTGAATTTGACCTTAGTTAAAACTGATATATATATATATATATATATATACTTTCATGGAGTCTGGTTTTTGGTGTGGCTTGTTGGTTTGCATGGTTCTGGAGAAACAAAACTTTATTAGGTAATGATTTTGATGTGAGGGAGATTTCTGTGAATACAGTCTATTATTATGTGGGACATGTGAGAAGAGCTTAGAGTGAGGAAGTTGAAGGCAGAATGAAAAAATGGGAAGACATTTCATGGCATCCTCCTGAGGATGATTGGATTAAATTGAATATTGATGGGGCTGCTAAAGGGCAGCCAGGAGAAGCAGGATGTGGTGGCATTGACAAGTATGGAGTGTGGTTGGAAGGCTTTGTGAATAAAGTTGGGAGCGCGTGGCAGTTGATACAGAGTTATGGGGAGTGTGGTCTGGATTTTTGACCTTGGAAAGACTGGGCATCAAAAAAGTAGTTATTGACTCTGATTCAATTGCTGTTGTGGCCCTGCTGTAGAATATGTTAATTAATTGTGAATTTGTGACATATAGAATATGTTTTTGAAGGATGTACAGCGAATGATTGATGACAGCTGGGATATTACGTGTTGTTCATACTTATAGAGAAGGGAACCCTTGTGCTAATTGAAGTCTAACAAAGAAGCATGACTCCCAGTCTCTGAGCAGTCCTCCTAAGGGGTTGCTTGAGTTACTGCATAGAGATTGTGTGGGCATTTCTTGCCCTCATTTAGTTTCTATGTAATGTTGGGCCGATTGCCCCTTTTATTATCCCCAAAAAAAAAAATCAAATTGTACAAATAATGCATAAGAATATTAGTTCTGTTGAACTCAACACACAAGTCGAAAAAGGGTATGTTAGTCCTCATCGGCAACAGTAAAAATAACATGGCTGCCAAGTATAAGGTCATTTCTTTGTTATAATGAGGAATAAAGTCAAGATCGTAGATTTCTTGATATCTGCTGAAAACAAGAAAGATGTGTAAAGAGAAGAATTATGCATTATGCATAACTAAAATCACTTTGTATAATATGAACAGTAATTGTGCAAACAGTTAACATGATAACCTGTCAGAGAATTTGCCTGGTTCAGTAAATATGCCTCCTCCAAGTTCAGATCAACAAGCTGAGTAGAATTCAGCAATGTGTGATCTAGATCAAGAACCAAGTACAACTTTTTCTGGCGTAACAAATTCTTCATGTCATCGCTGCGCCATCTAGATATCTCCTCGTTATGAAGTCGCAGTCCCTGTAAATCCAAAAAGAAAAATTCCATCATATCAAGAGCCAATCAAAACATGAACTTCCAAAAAGAATTTCTATATCCATACCTTGTGTATATACCCAAATGTCACGCCATATTCTCCATCCAATTTTTGACCACAACATATGCACATACCTCCAAATGAGCCAGGATGTGTGCATGCATCTTCCTTCACAGTTATAGCTGCAACAACAATAAAATAGTTTGAGGGCAACTTAGAAGAAAAGGTTAATACATCATTTCTTATATCTTAATTTTCTCTCTAAAAAATGTTATACATAAAGAAATTCCTACTAGGCTCGACAAAGTAAATGAACACAAGAGACCACCAAACTCACTGTTCCTGAGTAATCGTTCTGCAGTGGATGCCTTTGTCTCCTTTGTGCTTTCGACTTTAGGTCTTTTAAATCTGCATCAATTTATAAATTGAAAACTTGAGATATAAATTAATATAATTTGACAAAAATATAAAACAATACAAAACCCATAAAATAATGTCAGGACAAAGGTTCCCTACTAAAACATAACATGCAAACATTTTTTATAGAGTATCAATGCTATTAATGAAACAATATTCAGAATTTATTTATTTATTTATTATATATATATATATATTTTTTTTTTGTGTAAGACAATGTTTGTTTTAGTGGAATGTAAAAGTAAAACGTCCACGAGACAATGTTAAACATAAATGAATTTGCATGTTCCCAATCCCCTAGGTAAAGAGAAAATAGTGCAAAACGATGTATCCTAGCAGACAGAGAACACACAATCACTCAGCAGTAAATCCAACAATAATTTTAAAATAGCTAATCCATCACATTGGTTGCCTTTCACCAGGAATGGTTTTTGCAGACATACCCAATTTAGGCATCATATTCCAAGCAGAAACAAGACATTAAATTTCTCATCCCCAATTCCATGGCATGTTGGTCAAGAAATTACAGTACAATTAATAAAACCACAAGTGACCTGTTAGGCAGTACATGCTTTTATGCTGGATGCAACAATCAGTTTCCATTATCTACTACATAGATAAGATCTCTGTGTGTGTGTGTGTGTGTGTGTAAAACACTGGCAATCCAATTCAATAGCATGTTGGTCAAGAATATGCAATGCCAGTAACTAATAAGATCACAAGTGACCTGGTGGGTAGTACATGCTTTTTATGCTGGGTGCAACAATCAGTTTCTATCAATGATTATTTAAAATCTACAAGTAAATGTTTGTTTAAAATTTGACTTCTCTGTGCTTACACTCGTTTGTTTGCATTAGAAGGGGCCATATCAGCAGTCTTGGAGAGCCTCCATTTTCCTTCCACTTTAGCCAAAACTTCATCCACAACCATGACATCCATACCATGCTTGGTACCACTCAAACTTGATTGTTCCAAGCTCACACTATCTTTCACCATAGTTTGCTTCTCGAACATATTTCATGGTTTATCCATCACTACAGGTTGATCGCTTTGCTCCCATAAAGGTTGCCTCAACAGTTCATTCAACAAAGCAGCTTCCAACCATTCCACTAGTACTTGTTCATTCAGGTCCACTTTATGGGGCTTCTTGTCAGCGTACAAATTTAGATAACAATCATAGGACTCCACCAGTTACACTGGTATCACCACCACTGCCACGGGACCTGCAGAATCAGAGTGGATGGATTAGCAAATGAGAAAGGAAGGAATCCATAACAAAAACAAACAAATGAGAAAGGAGGGAATTCACAATACAAGTTACAAGTCATTATCAAGAGCAGAAGAAGAAAAACCGAACCATCACAAGTTATTATTATCAATAATTAATAAATAAAGTATATCTGGATGGATGATCAAGTGAGAAAGGAAAAGAGATTCAATAATTGGTGGGTGAAGGACAAGATACCAGAAGGCACAAAGGGTTAAAAAAGAAGCAGTCTAACTAATTAATAATGAATAGGCAACATAAGGCCCTACATTCTTCCAAAATCATTTCAATGATGCAGAGAGGCAACACCAAGATGGGGAAAGGGGTCAAAGGGAAAGCAATAGATTTGTGATTTGTTAGGTAATCAAGGAGGGAATACTACAGTTGTGGGCCAGCTTTATTAGTAAATTCTTTCTTTCTTTATTAGTAAATTAAGTGCTGCCTCCAGTTAGCCTTTGCATTTATTCCCACCCTGTCACTCCCTATTTCCATTTCATCCATTATTCTTATTTCTGTCATGTATGTCTTCTCTATTCTTATGGTGGACTGACTAGCCCCTATTTGCGCTGCTTCCCTACTCACCTTCTTCCATGTCCCCACTTTTCAACCTTTACTGATATATATGTTTGCTGCCTCTCAAGCAGCTTTTGCTTTCCAAGGTTCGTTGGAATACCCATATCTCTTCCATTCTTAATTAATTAATTAACTTTTGATCCATTTCTAATAATCAACAAACGGAAAAGCTGTATAGAAAACCGCATGCAAAGGACAATGATGAAAAAGCATCAATGCGTCACCAATTTAATAAAACATTTGCCAAAACCTGCAAACCCACACGAACCAATCCCTGATCTGGGCCTGATAAACCTGCCACTGACATTCTGACATTAAAACATTTGAGACAATATCAGCCCCCTTAAGCTCAACAAATGAGTTTTGATTTGCAATTTCTCCAGCACATAGATTTCTAAGGAACTTCAAAGAAAATGAAAGAAAATGATGCTGTAAGGTACAATGCACAGAGTGAATTATCTCCAGCACTGCTAGGAGAAGTCCTTTGGAAGCAAGCTCTGAATGCCCAGAAGCAGATTTGGAAATTTCTATGAGAATTTCTAAGGACTTTTCTAAGTCAATCGAGTTTGAAGCCCCAAACAATAACTGAAGCGTGTGCTCTGATATGGGGTACTCCAAGGTATCAGTATCACCCATTACGTATGAGAATGAAAATAGAGATTGAATAATGTGAATCACCCACAATTGTCATTTGAAACTCAGTTTTTTATCCTGCAGAGATTTACCCAAAAATGAAAAACAAATGAAATTAATACACATACGCGAAGCGCACACTCACTCTATCAATAGATGGAGAAGGCTAGAAAACAAACATTACAATAAACCACTTGAATATAATGGTGGATTCAACTGTTATTGGTTACTCTCCCTTAAGATATGGCGTAAGAGCAAGAGAGAAGAGAAACAAGAAAGGGTAAGGAAATTGAAAACATCCACACCAATACTAATCAAAGACAAAAGGGAAAAAATCAAGAAAGAGCACAGAAGCTAAAAAAAATAGAATCTAACTGGGAAGAAAACAGACTTCGCTGATCTGCTGCACAGCACCAACTGAACCTAACAGCAAAGAAAAGAAGATGGAGCTGATTGAATGGCTCAATCGACGGTGAAAGGAATAGTGATGGCAGGGATGACAAAAGATGGATCTGCCTGAACATCTAGGAGGAAGTGGAATTTAGAGAGAAAATAAATGGGTGGTTCAGATTCGTCATGGAAATGAACAATCTAGATTCACTAAAATTAAACTAATTGCTGCCATAACTTCTTTGTGGATGATGCTTTATTTTTCATGAATGCTAATTTGGATAATTGTAGAGGATTAGCTGAGATTTTGAAAGTGTATTGTGAAGCTTCTGGTCAGTTACCTAAACTTAACAATTCTGGTTTTTTTTTTTTCCTGCTAATGTACTTAATAGTGTTATGAATCAGGTCTGTGATGTTCTTGGCATTAGTGAATCTGCTGATTTTGGAAAGTACTTGGGCATACCAAGTGTGTGAGGCAAATCTAAGCAACAAGCATTGGCTTACGTGAGGCTTATGTGAGGGACAGAGTGAGAAAGGAGATTAAAGGGGTGGACTAAGAATCTATTACCCTTTGCTAGAAGAGAAGTTATGATAAAATTTGGGGTGAACCCTATTCCTCTCTTTCCTGTCTCTTGTTCTAAATTTCCTAAAGTGACTAGTAAACAACTGATAGCATTATTACTAAGTATTAGCGGGATGGGAGCACTAGTGGAGGTAAATATATTACAACACACTCATAAATAAATTGGGAAGAGTTGCTAATCAAAAGGGAAATTTCCAGCTTATGAAGGTTTAAACCATATCAGTCTATTAGCCTATTTGCAGTTGCGCCCTGTCACGCCCCAATTTTAGACACTCATAAATACATGGATTGCAGGCTGAAAGATTAACCTATCTGAAAATGATAATAAACTAACAAACTTAGAATAAAACTATCCAATCATAACTGAAAGAAAATAGAATGTCTTCTTGAAACAAATAAATAAAGGACTAATTAAAATGAACTACTAAATGTCAATAGTAAAGCACGTGTTCTTCAATGTATGATGTTTCCAACGTAAGCTAAATCAAGTTAATAGACTCGTGAACGCATTCTAACAAATATCTCAATCATGATTTCCTGTCAAATTAAAAAGGTATCAGGGCCATTTAGTATTTGTAAAAGAGTATCCATAGCTCCAACCACAAATGTCACAAAACACAAAACTGTAAGAGAAGGTAGATGCATGTGAAATCAACATATTTACGTATGTAAAGCAGCAGAAAACAAACGGGAACAAAGGAAACAACCAAAGCAATTATCCAAATCACAATATACACAGATGAAAAACCCAATGGAATGAAGATAAATATTGAAGCTTGAACTCAACAAGGATCCAAAGAGGAATGGGAGGAAGAATTCAAGCTCCTCTCACTCACCCAAACAACACCGACAGAACAGGGGAAGAAAGAAGAAGTTGGCGGCATGCATAAAGGAGAGGAAAAACTCACGAATCAGGCCTCTAGCAGCGGCTCAGCTCTTCGCACATCCACCGGAGGCGAGCGGACAGAACACAGAGAGAGAGAGAGAGGATGAGAGAAGCAATAACAAATGGAATGGAGAATTTCAAGCTCTCTCCCTCTCTCAGCCACAGGCAACGGTTTCGAAGAAGAGAAAGGGGAGGGATGATTAGCCTCGCGGGAGGAAGGAGCGAAGAGGTCGAGCCCCCTCTCTCAGGCTTCGTCCCTACTGCGCCGAGAACGAAAAATGAAAAGGGCAAAAGAAAGAATAATAATAATCCGGATAACGATAGTTAAATCCCAAAACAACAAACTAAATCAGTTAAGTTACCGATAAATATTTTTATAAAATAAATTATAAATATTAATTTAAATTATTATAAATAAAAATTTTTATTATAATTTAAAATTTATATTTAATATTTAAATATTTATTTATAATCAAAAGTTGTATCTTTATAATAATTTGTATTGATGTTTTTAATTTATTTTTAAAAAAAATTATTGAATATTTACTTAATATTAATTTACTGTTTTGAAATCTAACTATCTTTTCCCTTTCAATCACGGTTTTAGAAACTATTTGAGATTTGGGATTAGGAAATTTTATATACTTTTATTTTTTTAATATTTATTTAATGCTAATTAAATTTAATTAAATATTATTTGATTTTATCAATCAATCTTTAACTTTAAAATTTTAATTATATAATTTTAAAAATTTAAAATATAAATAATATTTTTAACATTTTTATATATTTATTATTTTATTTTATTTTATTTATTTATATTTTTTGAATTTAATTTATAAAATATTGATGGAAATTATTTTAAATAAAACAATATAAACATACTTAAAAATTAAGTTAAGAATTAAATTTTAAAAATTTTTTTTATATTTATTTTGAATCTTTTAATATGGTTTTTAATTAGAGTTATTAAGAATAGTTTTATTATTTTATTAAATAATTTGGTTTTATTTACGATTAGCTGCATAAATCAGTGGAATAAAGAGGCACACGACATGTGACTTTTAATTGAAAAAGAAAGCACAGGGGGAGACGCAATAGCAAAAAAAGAAAAAAAAAAAAGGGGAGGAAAGGAACGGAGGAGCACTGGCGATCGCTATTCATCTTTTCTTTTCTTCAATTCAATTCAGCCATGGCTTCTCATTCTCTCATGAGTTGTTTGATTTTAAGAGTTAGGAAGAACAATTTTTTTTTTTGTGTGATCAATTGATCTTAAATTTTAATAATAATTTTTAATATTCAAGAAAAAGTTTGTTTTAACTTTATTTCAATTTAGTCTTCTTTACTGTATCTCTAAATTTGCTTTAATTACTATTATTAATTAAACTAGCTTTATTATATAATTTTTGAATTATATATTTCACTTGAGGGAGGTTTTGCTTGCTACTAATAGATTGACATAGCATTATGAGAGTAATTTAGTCTAACTTAGGTGAGTATTCATACTGTGTTTCTGGTTTGATTACTTTAAAAATAATTGTTAGGTTGTGGTTTAAGTGAGAGTTTAATTTGTCCATAACTTACTTTCTTGTTTAATCATTGAATGATAATTTAGAAAAAATATATATAATGAAATCAGAATAATAAAATTAAATAAATTTAATTTTTTATAGATGAGAAAGATTAAGTTTAAGTGATTGAGTTGTAATTGATTGCGTTACTTGTATTTAATAATTTTTTCAAAGAACTTACTATAATTATTTAATTTTAATTTTTTATTAATTTTGTCGTCGTCATAAAAAATTCTCCCACCATTTAGCTTTTCATAATCCCAATTAAATAGTTAATTTATTGATTTTTAAAGAAACGACTTAGGTTGTGTTTTCCTAAAAATTTTAATTTTTATTAATTTTGGTGTAATGTCAAAAGTATATATATTTTAGAAACTATTTGATATTACAAAACAATTAAGATAAAATTTGGAAAATCCAAAATCTAAATTTATATGCATCTGTTTTTGTTTTTGGCCAAAATTTTATATGCATCTAAATGCAACCAGAAAGGTCTATTAGGGTAGGATAACATGGAATATATGGTAAAATATTGGAAGATAACACGAGATTATAGAATTATACTGCCTAATAAATTTTAAATTTTATGTATCAAATATCACATTAAAATAAAGTATCATTATACAAGATTATATTTTTAAAATGATTTGAAATAATTTTTCACCTTTTTGTAAAGTATTATTTTAACTTATATAGTATTGACAAGAAAAAAATAAAAAAAATGTCATTTTACAACAATTCAATCAAATACAATTTTATATATTATTATTTTTAATAATTTTATTTTTATAATACAGTTCCTTTTTAATTTTTTAACTTTTCTCTCTCTCATCGTTAATGAAAGAATCAATTTATATTCATAGGTGCACCTAGTATATCCAAAAATTTGTCAAAAACTATTAGTGCTCATGAGAATTCAATATTTTTACCAAGTTTGTTAAAATTGAATAAAGAATAAAAAGTTTGAAAAATTAAATTAAATTATTAGTCGATAAATAAACAAAGGCAACAAGTTGTTAAGATTTTGTATGATTATAATATTTTATCATATTACTTTCTGGATATTTAAAAATGATAGATTCAGTCAAAAAAAAAAGTGAAACATCTTGTTATAAATAATAGGAATTGAGAGAAAAAGAGATATAAACCTAGAAGAATAAATGGAGAAAATTGAGAGCTTTCTTATTTCACACTAAGATACTCTCTTTTTAAAAACAAAGGCATACAACTCAAATCTAACAAATAATATATAAATTGATGATGATAGGAGATATTATGAATACAATGAGATAGTAAACATTCACTTAATATTCTAATATTTATAATAGATTGAAATGCTCCCTCCATTTAAAAAAAGTAAGGCATTTTTCAGAGAGTTTAATATTAAAAAATGTAACGCATTTTTAATCTTTCAAGATATAATCATTGTATTTTTTTAAAATTACCCCTATTGATAAATGACCTTGTATTTATTGTAGGGTATTTAATAAGAATAAATATAAAAATATAGGGTTAGTTTAAAAGCAAATAACTACTTTATTGGAGAGTAAAATTTAATTTAAAATATCTTATATTTTTAAACAAATGGAGTGAGTAGATTTGAGTACTTTGCAATCTCTTGTTAAATTGTAAGTTTTGAAGTTGGCCTCCTAAATTTTGAATGAGAACATACAAATTGAGAAATTAACTTGTAAATTGATTTTGTAAGATTTGAATAATTGATACAAAAATTATACAAATTCATTTGCATATATTTAATGATAGTTTTATTTTCAAACTCATCACCTAAATTATTAATACTTAATTTAATTATTTTAATCAGTTGTTGATTATTGATTTGTTGTGATTTGTTGAAATCTCGTTGCTTATTTAGAAGTTCACCAATCCATTCAAATTGAATAGTTGATATGATGTTTAAATTCCATCAACCATGCAAACCTTTAATCAGTATTTATTATCTTTCCTTTGATCGCCTTCCTTTTTTAGTTAAACAACCCTCTCTAATTAGATAGAAAATCTATTTGAGTTTACTGCTCTGCTAGAAGATGCTCTTTTACTAGGTATGCTAGGATAAATGGCCAAGAAGATGAAAGTCATGACTTTCATCAAACTTTGGTTAAGACTTTCGATTCCCTTAGTTTCTCTCATTTAATTTGATGTTTAACACTTTAGTTTAGGATAGTTCTACTATTGATTTGTAATTATAGTTTGAGTTGGTCTTGATATAATGAGATATACTTGTTGGTTAACTATATTCTTGTGACACACGTGGTTTGATTCTGCCATTATTAGAAATATGCATAATCCTATGTTTTTCTATTGATATTTGTCTTGCTTTGCTCTTTTATAGTTTTGTAGGTAAAGTTGAGATATTAGAGAAAGCTTTTTATAGTCTTGGGTTTTAATACCATTGAGTAGCAACAGTTTCACTAGGGTTTTTCTAACCTTAATGCTTGGTCATTCTAAAATTAAACTAGGGAAATAACATAAGGATATTAATTGATGACATAGGGAATTGAACTAGCTAAATCAAGTTTCTTAATATAGTCTTCATAAGGAACCACCAAATGGTCAACAAGAGGATTCACACAAAAGCCCTAAACAATGAGAAAGATAATGAATCTTTCACTATCTAAACTCCAGGGTTCCACTTCATTAAAGGGTACTCACTACATTCATTCTTTAGTCTAGGTTTTAGCACTTTAGTTTATTAGTTGGTAGCTAATCTCTTCACACATTTAGGTAATTTGTTCACTTGATAACTTCGTAATTGTATTGAGACACTCACTAAGGGATGACCTAAGGTTGACCCTATATTATATTAGGATTAAAAATAGTATTATTTTGATAAGATATGCAATTAGCCTCATCAAAACTAGGGATATCAGATCCCTGATCTCTATTAGATGTCCTTAGGTAAAAGAAGTCATTCAAACTTCCAAGCTTGACCAATGTGGCCTTCAAGCCTAGCTCTGTTGAATAGTACGTGACTCTTCAGATCCCTCAGCCTTTAATCAACACTAGGAAATCCCAAGGATATATGCACCTTTATGTAGGAGTTGTTCATTTGATCCTTGACTCTTCATGGGAGAAAAGGGATTCCTACTATAGCTAGCTACTGGATGCTATCTATACTACGTACAACAATGCTTTAATTGGAACTATGTTGATACTCTCAACAATAAGATTATAATCCTCACCATATCTCCTGATTTCAACATCAAAATGACAAATCCGACCCTTTCCACTAGATTAAAGGTTCAGATTCAAATAGTTGCTGCAGATCAAGATCGGAAAGCCATCTTGGCTACCCTTCATCACTAAATTGTCTACAAGTTGTAGAATGATTCAGTTGGCCTTCACTTCCCTAACTCAATTAGGGATACTTTATACATGGTAACTGAAAAAAGCTGGTGAATCCTTTGTTATTTAGATCCCAAGATATCTGCCACGAGAAAAGCTAGCACAATTGATGCCATTAGACTAGATTAAAAACTATGAAAGGGACTTCCACTTTGACCAGTAATACGTACATACAAAAGATCCTTCTATTCTACACAAGTTATTGAATGGGGATTGTCTAATTAGTCTTCAAGAGGACTGGGTACCAAGAAGCAGGCTAATCATCTGGTAGAATATTAACCATAGCACCAGCCTATACTTAGCACATGCATTATCCTCTTGATGAATTCTTCATAA